GAAGTGGTCAGTGCATTATTTATACACATACATATAATACATATATATATATATATGCATGTACACGCGTTTTATAAGTAAGGTTAATAAAGTAATTACTTACTCGGACACAATCTTCTTTTTATTTTATTTTATTTTATTTTATTTTTATCTTTTCTTTTTTCTTACTTTCTTTATCTTTCTTTCGCTCGAGCTTATTCATTCATTTATACTTCGTCGCTTTCTCACGTGCTACCTACGCATATATTCGTATATAAAGTAAAAATTGTTGCCGTCGTCTAATGTACTTATGGCTCGCGTGAAAATCACGTTTACGAAGGATAGTAATTTTGATAATCGTTCGGCAATCTTCGCGTTGGCACCGTACTGGAAAGATCTTGCTTGAGCTTGTAGGATAATTTGTGCGCGAACGTTCAGAGACGAGACGAGACGAGATACTTCATAAGAATTGTTTAACGATATTGTCCGTACGTTTATCTTCAGATTTCTTCTATCGTCTTCTCGTTTTTTTTTTCTTTTTTTTTTTTTCTTTTTTAACTCGTGGTTCTCGAACTACGATCCTTGGTAGATATTTCTTCTTAAACGTTGTTTGAAGTTATCCCGCGAGTGTTCTCTCTCTCTCTCTCTCTCTCTTTCTTTCTTTTTCTCTTTCTCTTAAAGTACTCGTAGATTCCCGTTACAGGAACGATTCGAAAAATGTCGCGTGGGCGTCAACGTGTTTAATAGGAACACGAAACGACATTTGTTCGTTTTTATTTTTTCTTTTTTTTTTACCTTTTCCTTGAAAAACGTTCAAAGATAAAAGTTTTTTTTTCTATATACAAACAAAATCATTTAAACGCGTTTTATTAGTTATTCCTTAATTTTTTTCTTTTTCTATAACAAGAAATTAAAATTAAAAAAATTAATAATATGTAATTAAAATATTTAATTTCCATGGGGGGGGGAGGGGGAATTTTTTTTGTATGTAAACGTTTATTAGTTATTATTTAATTATCGATACCTTTTTTTTGTCTTACTTAATAAGATAATAAATCTCTCACGTTATTTATCCTTTCGTAACTCTAATTTGAATATCGATTTAATGAATGATATTTTTGAAACATATTCGAATCGTTATTCAATTGGAAACATATAATATCGCGAATCTAAACGAATGTCAACAGAATATAGGTATGAATTTATCATTAATAAGATAGGTTAAATTTTGGAACGGATAATTTTGGTGTTGTCCGAAAGTTTCAGAAACAATATATCAAAAAAACCTGTGTACCACGCACAAACATCGTAAGCATACCTATCATTATCTAAGACCCCCACAAAAGTGATTTATACCTGGCCTTTAGACTACCGCTGAATCGTGGTTAAATTTTCTTCTCGGTATAAAATTAGTACCTACGAACCCGCGAAACCTTGCGACACTCTCTTTCTCTCTCGTGTGTGCGAATAAACATTTATGATCTTGCGGGTCGATCTTTGCCCTCCCACTCTAACCCATCGCACGAGTTATAAAAATGTCATAAAATATGTGTATGTGTGTGTGGACCGTAGAATTACAGTGGTTTACTACGTTTACTATGTGTATATTCGCACACTATGTTAAGTATGCATGTATGTATATACATACGTACGTACGTACGTACGTGAAAATCATCGTTGGTTTGTTTTTCTTTTTTCTTTATTTCGCAAGCGTGTTACAATTTTTGCAAATAAAATATGATTCACCTTAATTGATTTATAAGTACAACGCGTTCTTTTATGGAAAGCAAATTATTAAAGCATCACGGATTGGAAGGAAGTAATCATTCTTTAGATTTTATCGTGACGAGTACGAATAAAAAAAAGCTGACCACTTAAAATTCTACTTTTATATAAAGTTGAAAATATTATTTGATAATGGTATTTTTCTTATTTATGATAGAATATCTTCGGACGGTTTTTAATTTTAATAAAGAAAGCATGAATTTTTTACAGCACAGGTGTCTATTTTAATTCGGTAGTCGAGATCTTACGTCACTTACCACCTGAACACGTTTTAACAGAGAAAATCATTTTAAATGTTAATCTTTTCTTTCTCGATAAGAAGTAAACCATTAAAGTACGTAACTCTATACGTATATGAGAAAGACGAGAACGTTTCTGGTTATGGATAAACGTGGTTGAATAAAGTTGTTGTTGTTGTTGCAAAAAAAAAGAAATTCTTGATCGCGTATCGGCTTTGATCTTCAATTATTATTCGTTATTGATCCATCGATCAATCCCGAGATGATTATTTATCCGAAAAAGCAATCTTTCATCATTTTTATTATTATTATAATAGCCTCGGTTTAATTGAGACTTACAGTTTGTAAGCTTAATTAGTTTCACGTTTTTGTTATCTGTAAACGTATATCATGCTACTTAAAAACTAATACTGCTTAATATATTTGTCTTTGATAAGAAAGAAAAAAAAGTATACGTATCTAAAAAAGAGAAGAAAAAAAAATGTAAAAAAAAAAAAACAGGCTTATCCTTGGCAAGATTATTCTCGATATCATTAATGAATGTCGTAAGTAATGAAATAGGAAGAATAAGAATAAGAAGAAAGCTTGGGCAAATAAAATGAGACTTCCTATACGTGTACGTAAAGTAGCAATTAATCGATCAACGAACAAAAGGATAACTGCTACACGCAAAGATCAAGTATTTTACTCGTGAAGATCGACTCGTGGTTCGTGGGATAGTTGAGGAATGAAAATTGAAAAGGTAGTATTTAGTATATAGCTTTACACGCGCGTTTAAAACATGGATATTACATATATATATACATATATATACATATATATACATATATATATATATATATATGGAGGACTTCGTGAAAGGCGATCTAGCCTAACCTTTTGATCGTTCATACATATTACTTTGAAACCAGGCAATGACCTACGCGCGTTAAAACTATCACTTTGGGATTCCTTCGACTATGAATTCCCTAAGTTTATCATTCTCTAATTTTGTTTGTCGAATAAAACCAGGATAAAGTTGTCGTGTTAGGAAGGTATACGTAAATACGTAGGTATAACTATCTTTTCGCAAATAATTTACGATTAAAGATAAAAGACAATTAATTGCTCTTACGTACGCGTTATAAAAGTTCAATTTATGCGCTACATATCGATAATAGGTATTAGACATTTTCTAGTTAGGTATTTTTTTTTTTTTGATGTATGTTTTAAATATCGTTTTAAACTGGTCAATGAATCTACCGATCGTGATCGTTAACGACGAGATTGGATGATCGGTAAAATCAAAGCAATCATTTTTGTGGTTGTTGTTTCTTTTTCTTTTCTTTTTGTTGTTGTTGTTGGTTTTTATCAACGAAGTATTAATGGCGAAGTTATTTATCCACTTGGTATATAAAATAGCGCATCCGTCGCGTATAGAGTCTTGATTTTTCTCGAAACCCGTTTTGTGACCTCGTCATCGCAACTTACATAGGAATCCTACGAGACATAGACATAGACATAGACATAGACATAGACATAGACGGTCCTGCCTACGCGAATACGATAGCTGGTAAACTACTATAGTTAGATCTATATAGTAGGGTAAAGACTTACCGGTGCAAGCCACCGTACGTACGTCCTCGTTTTCGAGATGCCCGTTTACGTTCCTTAGAAATTGATCGTAAAAGTCGAATGATATTGACGAAAGAAAAAGAAAAAGGAACGTATGTATCGATCAGAGAATAGAAGAAACAAAAGAAATAAAAGGAAGGAGAGATTAGTTTTTATACGACAACAATTACAGATAATCCTCCTACAACACGGAATCCTGTATAACACAGTTTTATACTAACAGGATAAAAAAATTATGAAAATCTTGGTACGGCACTGGATAACACAATATGGTTGCTTAATGTATTTTAAAATGAAATTATCTTAAAATAATGAACTTTGGGTCTGATGTAACACGGCATTTTCTAGGAATCTATCTACCGTATCTTAGGAGGATTACCTGTATATAACTTTTTAACAACCCGTTATTGGATTAAAGAAAATTCATTTAACAGGGATCGAGAATTATCGAGAATCCGTAAGATCGATAAAACGATATTAACACTTTCCGCATGCATTCACTTCGTATTCGAAAGTTAATCCTGGTTATAATGTATTTAAGCAAATAAGGTTGTGCGTTGTTAAATAAATAAGAATTGAAAATGTAAGAAGAATAATTTTGCACGCAGATGTGAGAGCATCTCTCTGAGCGTCTCATTTTAAGAGGACCCCCTTCTACATTAGTAGCCTCGATTTGTTCCAGTCCCTCGATCTATCCACCTGATTTGTTGCCGCGTGTCAGCTTTAACTGAGAGTTATCTTCGTACGGAAAGACATTGGAGAACAGGTATGAGAGTGGCATGCGTAGGCGGACACACTTGGACACCACTGAGACTAGTCGAGCTACGTTCAGCTTGATTCTTTTTCTTTTTATTTCTTTTACCACGTGAGAATTTCCTTTTCCTACTATCGTTGCGAAGAAAATGATCTAAACAATAATTCCTATAACGTTTCAACGAGTTGAAGGATTATTATTTCGAAAATGACCGTCTTATATTAAATAAACAATATCGTTTCTCCAGATAATCCAATTTTTGTTATATAAGACAAAACAAACAAACTCATTTTTATTTGTATCGATATAAAACACGTATTGGTTATATAGAAAAATATTAGAATAAATATCTTGAATAAATTATAAATAGATTGATCAGTCCACGTTAAATTGAAGGTAAATTTATCGACTAACTTCATCCGGTTAATTTCGCATCGTCGGTGTGCGCGCGCATCGTAAATATCGACTAACTTCATTCAGTTAATTTTGCGTCGTGGTTGTGCGCGCGCATCGTAAAAAAACGCGGCAAAAGAAGTATAAGTTGAAATAATTGTAGGGAAAAAAAGTGGAGGGGAGGGGGAAAATAATTTTGTCGAAGTATCCAACCTCTGGTTAAAAGGGCCACTTACATCGTCACGTTCGTCCTGTAGTTCGTCGTCTGCGCTATCCTCGAGTACGAAGGCCACGTCGTTATTGTTCCTCGTTAAAGAAGGTAGCTTTCTCGGCGTTAATTCTTCGCCATCGGTGTCTCCTCTCTTACGTTTGCAATCCCTCTGCTCCGCCAACGTGGTGTTAGCCTCGTGCTCTTCCAACATGTCGGTCACCATCAGTTCCGACTCGACGCTCGTCGGGGACACGACTTCGTCGAGTGGTGACATTGTTGTTTTGTCGGCTTCGTTGCCCTCGAGAATTGACATGATGGACGAGGAACCAACTGTTTCCGTTCTCTCAGTGTAGTAAAAACTAACTCCTCCCCCCTTTTTGTTTTTTCTTTTTATTTTCTTATTTATTTTTTATCTCCTTACTTTTCTTTATTTCTTTCGTTTTCTTTTCTTTTTATCGCGTTGCAAACCATTAATCATTTATCTCGACGCGGTGAAAATTAAATGAACATTTATAAGTATTCACATAATTTAACTAAGCCAAAGATGACAACATTGACGACGACATTTCTTGTTCGCTTTTGCTAAGCGTTAAAGTCTCCGACGGGGCACGCGCCGCCGATAACAACCCGGAGACTTAACGTCTCCGATCTTTTTCTCTATCCTTTTCTTCTCCTTGTACAAATCTCTTTCCCTCCAGGCATCGAAGTCTCCGCTTACGGAACTTACGTTCAACTAACTCGCTTTCGCTTTCTTTCACGAATCATTCGACGTCCGTGCCTTTGGCACTATTGAACACACAAACCCAAGGGAGAATCCTTCGATTAGAACAGGTGTACTACCTGTTGTACGAGTTAAACTCACGTTACAGTTTCTACTGTTAAACTACACATTTCTTACGTCCTAACTTTCCACTTCTTTCTATTGCAACATTATATATATATATATATATATATATATAGTTGTCCGAGTTAGGATTTTTTAATCGACGTGATGATCACTCTAATCGTCGTTTATATTCACGATATTTGATTTCACTTAAAAATCGTAACGTTGCCTAAGGTTAATCCTACCTTCCTTACGTATATTTCACTGTTTCCAACTCGCGGAGAACTTTGTCCGTCGTATTTTGCCATGGTCGTGTTCGGTCGATTACGTTTTCCGGTTTCTCTCTGAATTTTTGTTATTTTCGTTTCGAAGACGCCGCCGGCAGCGCCGTGAATGATTATTAGCGACGATTTTAAGAAATTCACTTTAAAATTTAATTCAGTTCTCGACATGCCTCTAGCGAGAAGAGAATATCAATTCTGGTTCGATTATTATTATTATTATTATTATTATTATTATTATTATTCTTTTTCTTCTTCTTCTTCTTCCTCTTTCGGTTTTAAAGTCCGTACGAAGTTCAAGGTGAACGATTCACTCACCGATCGGTATATATCGTTGAAGAATTGCCTCCGGCGCGCGTGGGTAGTTATGTAATCGCTGTTGATGATGATTCGTGCACTGGTGTGAAGTAAAGCCAGAGGGAAAGATCAAAAGAGGAATTACAAAAAATAACGGCGCAAACAATAATATCAAAACAACCAACAACAACAAACAACAAACAATAAACAACAATAACAATTAACAACAAACAACGAGGAATGAGAATCACTTTGGGGGTGGGAGGGATAGGGTGTAGATAAAAACAAAAGAAAATCGTTCGACTTGAACGGACGTTGACGTACGCGAAGAGGAATAATAGTCACGTGGTCGTCGTGTTTCTGGCTGTCAGTTGAAGGAGAGGGAGAGAGAGAGAGAGAAGAGGAGAAAGGAAGGAAATTTTGCCGAGGGGGGTGTTTTGAAGGAATCAGAAGTTGGCGTAGTCGGATGAGAATGCACAGGTGGGTGTCGCGATAAAAAAAAGAGAATAGGAAGAAGAAAGTGGTAGAATTGGAGGAAGAGGAAGAGGAAGAAGAGGAAGAAGAGGGGGAGGAGAAGGAGGAGGAGGAGGAGGAGAAGGAGGGGAACGGAGAGGCGAGTTTCGGAAAAGTCTCTACCGGGAAAGTTGTGCGTTGGGCACACACGCACGTATAAACGAGTATAGTATAACGCGCGCGTATTGGTCGAAGGTCGGCGAGAAGCGATCGGGCGACACCGCGTTGGCGCGCGCGCCTCTCGAGAATGGCCTAAAGGCGAAAAGAGGAAAGGATCTCATCGAGTGGCGCCGCCCGCGGCAGGAGGGGGCAATCCTTCTATCTCTCTTTTACTTTAAGTGCACCAAGTGTTGTGTTGGATATACTGTTCTACCACCACCACCACCGCAACCACCACCACCACCACCATCTTTGCCGCCGTTGCCGCTCCTGTTGGCTACCCACACCATTACTAATACTTTTGTAGGGATATCACCAACACACCAACAACCGTCCAGCTGTCTTCTTCCTCTTTCCTTCCTTCTCTCTTTATCTTTATCCTTTATCTTTCTCTTTCCTCCGACATATTGCATCTTTTTCCTTCTCTCTCTCTCTTTTTCTTTCTTTCTTTCTTACTTCGAATGCGTATACACTGTGTCTCTGTTCTCCGGCCGGTCCCCGGACTGGACCGGTCATTCTCTTTTCATCTTCCTTCCTCTTTCTTCTAAGATAGAGTAGTCTTTTCTTTATCTTCTTCTTCTTCCCTATATCTTTATGCGATACCTGCTACAGCAGCAGCAGCAGGAACAGCAACAGCAGCAGCCAACGGAAGAGAGTCGGTCACTTCGTCGAATTCACCCTTTTACTTCTACTCGCATTTTCATTTCTTCTCATATTATTCCTTTTTATTTTTCTTAACCCATTCTGTTTGTGTTTTATTATTATTATTGATACCAATCGATTTAATCTATTATTTATCATATTAATCTCGTATAATATTATCTCTTCGATAATTGAATAATAATTATATAAAGATTGTCTATCATTTAAAATTTATTTCGAATATTTTCACGACAAATCATACATTTTGTTTTCTTTTATATCGTTATACAAATTTATGATATTAAAAAAGAAAAAAAAGCAATCAATCGTCTTCCGTAATTTTCTTTTTCCCCCCCGTCTCTGTTTGGCACACGGATGAGCAGCAACACGCCTACGCATGAACTGAGGGGAGTAGGGGGGGGGTACAGGTATCGACGAGAGTTACGTTGCGTTACGTTCCATTGCATTGCATTGCATTGCGTTGCTATTCGTTCGTTTTCTCGTTCGTTTTTTTTTTCTTTCTTTATTTGCGTTCTGTTGCGTGCGCCGTTTTGACCAGCAAACACGACGACGACGACAACGACGACAACGTACGACGTGTCGCTCCTCTCGCGAGCTGCGCAACGATCCGATCTAATACTAGATCTCTTTCGGAGACCGGTCTCTCCTCGTTACCTTCGTTTTCCTCGGCTGTTCTCCCAATTAGTCTTCTCTCCGTCCACCATAAGTACGCGAGTAGTCTCCCTTTCGCGCCCCCGATGGTGCTACCTACTCTACCATCGAATACCATTGGCGTAACTTCCCTCTTTGCTTTTTTCTTTCTTTCCTTCCTTTCCATTATTTCTTTCCTTTCTTTTATTCTTATTAGTCAGATACAGATAAATTTTTTTACAACTGTATCGTAATTATTTGTTACATTTATTAATTTTTAATTTTGAGCTAATTTTAATTGATTTGATAATAAATTTCCTATTTGTAGGGATATATTAACGTTTCTAAATGTTAATTCTTGTCATCGGTAAATTAGATATATTTGATCAATATTTATATATCATCTATAAATAATATTGTCTTAATTATATATAATTATCTTTTCAATTTATGTTCTTATATATCCGAATCTCGTGTATCTAATTTTAATTGATTTATTTCGTAAAATAAATTATCGATCATTTTAATTTCAATATACTACCAGAGAAATGGATTTTAATAATCGCATAATTTATTTATACGTTCCCAAACAAATTTATATATCTACATTTTAATATCTCTTATTAAAAAAAAAAAACTCTGTTTCTTTGTCTTATTCTCTCTTTTCTTTTTTTCTTTTTTTTCTTCTCCCCGTGAACAAATCAAGATCCTACGCCATTGAACGACTATAGCATACTGGGTCGCGTGGCTGCTTCTAACTGAGCGATCTAAAAAGGAGTAGAGATTTCTTCTTGGGTTATCTCCGTTTGCTCTACGATTCTTTTAAGTAACTTTAGAATTTTACCACGAACGTATTCGATCGAACGATAGAATCAATATAAATAAACGCGATCGGTTTTAACGCGAAAGAAATAGAAAGAAAAAGAAAGAAAGAAAAAACCTGTTGTACTCTACGATTACGTATTAATCAAAATATTTCAAATTTCAAAACTCGTCAAGTTTTTTTCAAGTTGGTTCATTCACTTGTCCACTGTGCAATACTATCATGGTAATACCTATCGATAAACTCGTTAAGTGATCGTATAAAACACTTCGTCTAAATACCAAAACGATGACGAAGGTTACATTAACATTAAAATGTTTTTTCTTTTTCCTTTCGTTTCTTCCTTATTTCTTCCGTCTTTATCTATCCTTATCTATCTTTTTATACCTTTTCTTTTTTTCTCTTTACCTACGTGTTCGAATCTTTATTCGAACGAATGCGAACTTAACGAAGCGAGACGTACGTCTCCTATGTATGATTAGGTTGTCGCCGACACGTCGGCATCGGGATAAGAGAGACAATCCGATTCTAGTATGTATGTACATATACATACATATATATATATATGTATATACCTATGACCGAAGAAATTCCTCCATACGTTAACCCAAATATGAGCAAGAACGAAAGAGTAATGAGTCGCTCATTAAGAAAGAATTTATCTCTCTTTTTTCCTTTTTTTTTCTTTTTTTATTTGCCAATCTGCGGTGGTGAGGCTATATAATTTAAAACAGCAATAAACTCGTTCGTCACGACCAAGACGTTGCGTACGTAAAATACTTTGCGAGTTTAAAACGTTCCCCCCCAACTGGGGCTGAACTGGGCTGAACTGGGCTGGGTTGGGCTGGGTTGGGCTGGGGTGGTGGGAGAGGGGTAGGTGGGAAGCCGAGAAAAAAATAGAAACGCAAAAACGATCGTCCCGTGGCAGATTTTAACGAATCGTAGACACACACACACACACAGACACAAAAGTAAAAGAAAACAATCTTTCGCGTCATTTTTATTAAACCCTTTGAGTGTGCTATGAACGCATATATGCGTTTGGTAAAAATTCATAGGCGTGTTTAGCAATGTTAATGTAAAATAATGTAATATTATTGTTGTATGTTGTCAAATGTGAAAAGTAATATTGTGAGAAACAAAAATTGTAATTATAAAATTGAATTTATTTAATATTAACATCTGGTCACATTATTAATAAAATTCTTAATAAGAAGGTATCATAGGGAATTTGGACATCAAAAAAAGAAGTAGAACTTAATTTTGATAAGTTGAACGATTCGTCCCTTTATTGGGACTTCTTCAGCAACTTAATCTTTAAAGTTCAGCGTCTTTTTTCTTTAAGTAGACATACATTTTATTTTTATTTTTAATATTTAAAACACAAAACATCTACACTTCGTTAAGTCTTAATCCGTTATGAAACAACTGATTAAATTATTAATAAACTATTTTCATTCGTATAAAACACTTTAGTTAAAAGTATTCAACACTCAAAGGGCTAAAACAACGATAGATCATCATTTTCCATTTCCATTTTTACGAAACGTTTCTCTTCACTTCCGATCTCGTATCATCATCAACATCATCATCGTCAACATCGTCATCGTAGTCGTCGGATTGATTCGGGTTATTATTTCCGCGGAATTTGTTTTTTATATTAATTAGAAAAATATGTTTGGGGACGAATTAGTTTGAGTGTCTGGAACGTTTTGTCGAATAAAAATATTCGGGTCATGCGAACCGGCAACTGGCAACAGTGGACCTTGGTGGATCGGTGGCTTCCGAGACAGAGGCTGCTCCCTTCGGCATACCAAGACAGATCACCTCTTTTTTTACTTCCCTTCCCTTCCTCCCTCTCCTCCCCATCCCTTTCCTCCCTCGGTCTTACGCGCACCTGTCCAGCCAGGATGGACGGTATTCTGATCACTCTACTCCCTGCGTGTGGCTCAACTTCTCTATCTTTTTCTTTTTATCCCTTCCTCTTACCATCACCCCCACCCCTCTCCACCCTCCCCTTTCCCAGCCTCTCTTTTTTCTTATTTGTTTTTTTTTATATACAGCGTAGATAGGCTTCTAAAAACCGCAAAATTGTATCATCCAACTAAAAA